AAGAGTCCAGTTTATTCTATTATTTAACTTTTAACAGACAAAAGGAGAAGAAATTCAAATGATCCCCCTCATTAGAAATTTATTAAAGAGTAATCAATACTGGATAAAGAAAATAGATTTTTGCTAAATACAAAGAATTGTACATAAAACTCAGATTAAAAAGAGATTAATTTGATGGAGTCAGCAGCAATTAGATGTAATTTTAATTTTTCTTTTTCATAATTGAAATCAGACATTGGGTGTGGGTTTTTATGTATGTGTGTGTGTGTGTGTATATAAAATATAAAAGGCTCAAATACTAACATTCCATGGTTATAATTTATTACAATGGAATTGTAATCACAATCCAATTCATCAGACCTACAAATTCAAATATATATATATATATTTTCACCCTTGGAAGGGTGGTCTGATGAGCCAGCGAAAAAGAAATTCCCTGGAGAAATAAATTATAATCTATGGACCCTTAAAGTTGTCTGTTTTCATTAAATTAATTGCTCTGATTTAACATTGAGCTCTCAGATTTCATCCTGCTTGGGATTATCCATAGGGATTACCAAGATTTTCATTACTTAATTATATATATATATATATATATATATATATATATATATATAGATAGATAGATAGATAGATAGATAGATACTATATTGACAGAAATTTTTATAATTTTACATATCAATGAACAGTATTTAGAAAAATATGGCAAACTGGAAAATTTTTTTGTCACGTGTTCTGTCCATTAGGATTTCATTGGACTGGGGTTTGTCGGCATTGCCATGTCTACACATAAGCAGAAAATTTTGAACTACTTGTGTTTCTTGTTTTGTGCACATGTGCAGACATGGCAAAATATATACATACATACATATATATATATGAAAAATTTCTCAGAGTTAGTTTATAGAAAAAGACAATACGAAAATTGTAATAGACGAAATGCGTCAGCAACTATTACAGTTTTCCTATTGTCTTTACATTTATAAATATATATATATATATATATATATATATATATATATATATATATATATATATATATATATATAAAAAGAAAGAAATATAGTTTTAAGGTGTGCTATATTTATGGGATAAAGTGCTCAATATCAGAGATAGAGTGCATGTAAATATAAAAGTGAACATTGAAGTTAACACTCAGAGGCGACAGGCTGTTTCATGCTTGACACAATATATATATATATATATATATATATATATATATATATATATATATAATTTATTGCACTATTTCAGTAATTTTTCAGTTGCATTTGTCTGTTACCAGTTCTTTAAAGAAGAAGGCTGGTTCTATACAAGCTTTCACCACTAAAATCAAATCATATGTGTGGTGGTGGTTATGTTCTAAGACCTAATCTGTTAGGCCCTCACATGTTAAATTCAATGAGTGTGTCAACTATATATATATATTGATAAACACTGTTTTTTGTTATATATGTGTGTGTGTGTGCACGCACACACACACACACACACATATATATATATATATATATATATATATATATATATATATATATATACATATTCTTCAGATACAGTGCATAACATCAAAGGAAACAAGACCTTAAGTTGGGTAGTATAAAAAAAATGAAATATTTTTCATAATTTTTAAAATTCTGGTAAATTAAACATAATGATGTTTGTTTTTTTTTTTATGAAAATTATTAATTTTAAATGAATTTTTAAAAATTCCTGTATAAAACTGTAAATGATGTTCACTAATTCTTTGACTGGAATTAAAAAATA